TTTTCTGAATTAATTTTATAAACCTAAACATAGTTTATAAAACTGCGCATAAAATATCCATGCCTGCGATTATTTTGTAAAAAACATACGTCTTCGATTTTCCACCCCGAAAAAAAAGATATCCTCCAGTTTAGAAAAGCAGTACCTTCCCCGAGTAAATTTGAACCTGACAAGTCGTTGCACATGTGCATAGAATTTCCAAACTACAAGCCCACCTGAAGGACGCGCATCCAAAAGCCGAAATGCTGGTGTGGCTGTTCTATTCTGCTAGTATGCTGTGTGGCATTCAACCTAAGTACTGCTCTCTAACCGAGCCCATTAATTTCCGAATTACAGTAAACATTTGGTGAGATACGGCACTTACCGTATAATGCTGTGCAGATTGTTGTCTCCAGTGAATTGGACCACCATCGGCGTCGAATTGTCCATCTGCACTATGGAGTACGTCCCAGTAAGATTCGTGACCGGGAGAGGGTACTTCATGTAATTTAACGCTGACAGTTTTAGCTAAGTCGGAGTCGGTGTTTTTTGTGAATAAGACAAGTTACGGTCGACATCCTCACCCTAGTCGAAATTTCTTTCGAACCATTCAAACTATATCTAAATCCTAAGTGCAACAAGGATACGGTTCTATCAGTCCTCTAGTTACGCATTTAGAAGGCATGCAAGAACAGGTTTCCTTTCTGTTTTTCGTAATCAGACACTAAATAGAGTGCGACAGTTCGTAATGCCTATGACATTAGTAGACTGAATATCCAAGTCATCCACAATCGATATACAAGTTAGTTTGGGACAGTTTCATTGATCTAATTCTCATAAATTTAGTTTTGCTACCGTACATTTCTTGCCACTACCACTGCCGTCGCCTTATTCGAGGCGATATAGGTGCCATCTCAAAACCTAACTATACACCGAGGAAATTGTACCTGTTGTTAAATAGCATTGCCGCTAAAGCCAAGGGAGACTGGAATGGCCATTTCTGACTCATTACCCATCGTCATCCAATCATACCCAGCCCCAAGTGGTGCACCGTCCGAAGCTCGAAGTGTCAATATCTCCAGATTTAAACCGGCGGGACAGTGAGCCTGTGGCTCAATGGTTAGGGTGTTAGACTTCCGATCAAAAGGTCCCGCGTTCGAGCTTTGGGTAGTGCACTTCTTGGGTTTGGGTATGACTGGCTGATGACGGCTAATAGGCCAGAAATAGCCAATCCAGTTGCCTTTGTCCTAGCCGGCAATGCTACTTGCCTATACAAGTAGCCGCTGTGCGACTGCTGGTTGGACTCAAGAATGAGTCCCAAGGCAAAGCGAGACTGATGATTTCCGTTAGCGATCCGTGAACGCTAAGCAACCATATTTTCTTGCGGCTGCAGTTTAGGATTGCATAAAGTTAGCTGCCGCCACTGTTGTCATCCGTGGCTCAGGCATGATCACTGCCATATCAGTCTGATGCATGCAAAGCGTGCGTCCTCGGCTTTAACTTTCGTCATTAGCTTTAACTGAGAGCCAGTCTCCGGACCGTGAGTATTACTTATGAGGACGTAATATGTAAAAGCAATACTGCAAAATAGTACGTTTTTTGGTGCAGAGTTAACTGAGCGACAGAGATTGGGCTGTTGAGGGCGATTGGGCTTGCGTACACTGATTTTGCTAAGACCGTTGCATTTTTTAGCGCAGTTCTTAGAAAACAGTTCTATGCTGTTTGTGGACTGTTCGTACCGAACATGTGCTTAACCGGTTGCACATTTACGTCTACAGTCGTCTGGCTTATAGCCTTTTTCGCTTATCAACGAAATTTTACGTTGACTAGCCTGGACCGCGCAGAATGAGGTGGTATCTATCCCTAAGCAGAGCTTGTGACTGCATATATTTCTGTTTTTCTTACTATGACGCTTGATTTTGGTTTTTAAACTTTTGACGACTTTCAGGTGAGTGCAACGATGTAATTGAGCAACTGCAGTTAATCTTTGGCCAGATGCAACTCAATCAGACCGGGTGAGATTCCTCCTCCTCCTCTCCCTTATACTCTTTCACCTGTCCGCAAAGAAAAGTGCCATATGTTGTCATCTGTCTATTAGAGATGTATCCCATCTCTCACCCGGGCTCGTTGCCCTCTTAGTAAAAGCTGCAACTGAACAATCCACGGAGGCATAGGTCTGATGCAACTTACACATCCGAACTTCTCAATATCGCTATCCACCAAGGAGTTAGCATTGAGTAGATGCAGCGCGCATGCACACCAAGTACTAGCAGGCTTCAAACATCGTGACACTCGGCGACAGGTTTGAACGAGTGTCGTTAGCCCCACAGACATCCAAAGAGGTGCCTGCAAACCATTAAGTTGTGCTTGGATAACACTGTAGTAATTACTGAATTGGATCAGGACGCCTCAACGTCTACTTGGGCTTATAATATCCCTCCACATTCAATAAGTGGATTTCTTACACTTCCTACTTTAGCTGGATATAGTTGAAAGGAATGGTTTATTCACCGATAGATAACTCGTATGATGCACACAAACAGCTCCTCTTAGCATCCCTACATCTTTTACCGTTAAGTTCGCACGCCTCTGTCTTTCTTATTTTTCGCTACTTCCCGATGTGGTCTTAAAAAGAGTCACTAATCACCCAATCGTTTGTGCTCTTTTTTCAGCATTGTGGACCCGGGAGGCCTGATTGAAGTGCTCAATCTTTCCGAACGAGATCAACAGGTGAGGTGTCTGTACTTACTGCGCTTTTTGAAATCCTAAACAAGATCTTACTGAGAATAGACCTCTCACTTCCTTAGTGCAAATTACATGAGAAGGTCTAGAGATTTGAAGATGTGCATGCATTCGAGTGGCTGCAGCATCTTCTCGAATATACCTGCAGTTTACTACCCGCTGGCTTTCTTAGCCTGTGCACAGGCCATGCAAGTTATTCCACAGTTATTAAACGACAAAATTGATTTGTAGGGCCCCTCTAGATATCTATTCCCCCGCCCAACTGCTTAAAGTATTTTGTGGTCAAACATTTAATTCTTGGCTAGTGGGCGAAAATTAATATGTAATTGTGGCGGAGTGAATCAAAAAATATTAAATAAAATTATGTTTGTTTTAATATGCTAAATAGAATCAAATTTAATCAACATTAACTTCTATTGCGTAGGATACGAATGCTAGTCGAGGGAAATTTGACCTTATGTAGGCGGAGTTTAACGAAAATGGAAACTCGTCCTCCTATTGGTGGAATTGAACGAAAAAAATGTAAAGTCAGGCTATCGAACATTTTTTATTATAAGTCGACGGGATTTTTGCTATAATTAATCTTGCCTATTAAACTATTACATGAGGTGTTGGATGACTCTGCGCAGCAACATGTATAATATACAAGGTCACTTGCTTGGAACGAGCATATCCAATTTTATAAGGGGTTTGGGCAGATTATATATAAGTCTATAAGTCTGTTTCAATATGTCTACTAAGTCAATAAGGTCTAAATGTTAAAACTCAGCGGCCTCGGTGGAATTCGAACCCACGCCTGCAAGGGTTTAGTACAGCCGATGCCCTAGCCAACTGGGCTACAAGGCCCCACCGGGCGCCGTAAGTGTGCGTCAAATTATTCGCCCAGCTTATTGTGACGTATGGAATCCACCAATGCTGGTACAGTAAGCAGGATTTCCCAAGCAACTAATCCAGAATGTACCAGATGACTAACAGACGCATCCTGCATGATCAATACGGTTATGTTCGCTTTTGGAACTGAACCGGACGTAAATGAATTTTTCAGATACCGAAACGCTCCATTATTTGATCCAGTAAATCTGCAGAAGACACAAGTATCCGTAGGGACACGAACTGATTTTTAAGACTTAGAAAAAATGTGGCAGGCATCGGAGTTTTGTATTCCTTGAAGTGACTTAAAAATTTTTCAATGTCAAATCACTATGCTACGCTCTATGAGTGAGCTGTTGATTTTGTTTCCTTCTACTGAGCCCTTCAATTCCATTTTGGATTTTGTGAATTTGCCAGCATTCGTAAGAATTCTATTAGATGTTTGAGCTGTTAGGTATCTGCTGTCGAAAGTTGTTCCTGGTTTTGCAGCCTATTTTCATTTAGGGACTTATAACTTTCGCACGATGTCCCCGACTTACTGAAAGTTAAATAAGTCCGTCCGAGTCGGGTAGCTTTTCACAAGCGTAAACAGAGCTAGGCCTCTTTTCGAACCTCAAGTCATAAGTATTGATCAACGCAAAGGAGCTGTTATCTAAATTGACTCTTCAATTTGACCACCTTCGTGAAGATACTTGATAGAAGCCAGTCGAGCAAGCAACTACGCCCTTCCGCCTCCCAACTTAAACTAAATTCCAGTGAGGCACATATTTCCATGTCCTAGATTTAATCCTATCCCTACAAAAGCTAACCCTAACCGCTCCCAAGGTTTACCGCAGGGGGTTCATATTTCCGTGCCCAATCAGTGTACTTAGATAGCATCGTGACATTCTTAGAGATGACTGTATTTCAGCCGCTACTTGCTTTCTCCAACAAACATCTTCGCTGTCTGATTTTATGCTTTCATTTTAAAACTTCGCCTGTCTTATTTTTTGTCTCCGCCCAACACAGGATGCTCCCGAATTTCACAGTCTTTTTATGAACCTCTTGGAAACCCGGTTCGTCTCCCTCGGCAGAACCGTCATCCAGCCTCTTTTCAAGGGAACCTGTGTATACGAAACTCGGTAAGCCGCCTTTCAGACGCCAGCTACAGAGGCAATTCATTGCTGCTCAGCCGTTGTTTTGCCACCAGGGCCTCGTAAACTATTCATTGTACATATGAACTGGAAAATCGGCATCCCAAGAAGTATAATTCAGTAGAAGAAAATCTTTGGGAAAAACGCAGGATTAGGGGAACACAACGCGAGAATGGGCATTTACCGTTTCAAATCTTCAATTGTCTACTGCAGATTTATGTTCTTTAATATGCATACTCTCAATATCTGTTAATTTCTGTCTGTAGGTGTCAAGTCTGTGGATTCTGTTCTCAGCGGTTTTCCTCCTTTCTTGAGCTTGATCTAAAGGTCTCCTCGAGCAACCTAGAGGACTGCATTTCTCACTATCTTGCTGTAAGTTCTGTTTTGTGAAGTTTGCATGGCCGTTCTCACTAGGAAGGAAACACGTTTTACCACGTGGTCTTACGTAGAGGCAGACAGTTCCGTGGTTACAATAATCACGACAAGTAGCTCCATTTACAACAACAACCTGATTACGTCTGATAGATGCCTTGTCAGCAAGTTTCAGAATATCAACTTCCGCCAATAATAGACTACGAATTCGGCTTGTGTCCTCCGTGAGACTTGGTTCGAATGGCCTCCCATCTTGTTCGTTCAAATGTACAATTTGTCCACCTCCTCAGCTGCAAACCCGCAGTCCTCCTGCCCCTTTTGAGCAAAAATGACTTCACTTTAAGCCCTCGTGCGTAGATTCTTTTGGTATCATGCCCATTTGATAAAGGTTGTTTCAAGTAGGCTACTGCTTGAAATTCAACTACCGTAACCGCTCCGATGGTGCGTGCTTTGGTGATCCTACGTTACTCTTACATTCTCATATTTGCCGCTTAACTCTCGGGTTATAGCGTGGCAAGCGAGATTTTGAAGGACGGAGATGACCCTCTATTAGTTTAGACGTTCTCATGAAAAATCTTTGGATAATACAGCCTTGTTGCCGTTAGCCTCTCCTTGTCATCGTTTCCGGCTGCCTTAGAGGTATTTCTGCCCCCCCCGCACCTACTTGTCATGTGCTGGATGCCAACAAGCAATAAAATCTTTCGTCTTCAGGTGAAGTCCATCTATCTTGCGTGCATTCCGTTCTGCCCCGCAATGGCCTGGTGATAGTATTCCACGATTACTGATTTTCCGAGCTGTAGTGAAAAGTTAGCACGCAGTCGTCTGATCAGGTCGGCTCGATTACCATCACCCCGCCCCCCTCAATTTGCTTCTTTTTTCGTTGCCCTCGGAAGTAAGTTTTCCTGTGTTATGAATTACCTTGTGCTGGATTCCGAGGGTACGTATTCCCGTGTCTTAGTCGTAATTCCCCCGTAACTCATTACAAGGCCACTTGTCCTACCTCCTTTTTGCGCCTCTTTATGCGCAGTGGAGTTCAATATAAGGTCCTCGAATGTCTCCCAATAAGGACTAGTAGTATATTTTAGGAGGGAATACCGACAAAGGCAAGGAAGCCCGAGGCAGCAACCTCAGCTTCCGTCAACCAACCATACCTAACCCAAGGTCAGGAGGATCTGAAATCCGAACTTAGATCCTCTAGTCCTTGAACTTTTTCTAACTTCAACACTAAGTCGACTATAGATTGTTCGCAATGTAGACTTTAGTTACAAGACAAAGTGTTACTTTTGTATTCAGTCATGTAATTAGGTCACTTCTCGTGAACTTCATCCTCAAGTGAATTGAGCACAATCCTTGGCTCAGCTGTTAGTGCCTTTGGTTCTGTGACTAAATTAATGTGGATTAAAATGCCAGCTGTCTGGAGTTTCGTTAGGACTGACTGATGACAGAACTGTCAATCTCCGCCTGTCCCGATTATTAATTCCTGTCTCGTCGCTGGACTCCCCCCCCACCCCCACGGTGTGCTCTATCCTTTCCTCAATTTTGATCCCCTTTTTGTTGTTTGGGCCTTTTTCCTCAGGAGGAGTTTTTGACTGGGGACAATCGTTACGCCTGCCCCACCTGTTTAGAGAAGCGGGACGGTGTACGGCGCATGCGCATCACAGAGACACCCCTCATGCTCTGCTTCCAACTCCTGCGCTTCACCTTCGATGTACGCTCGGGTAGACGGGTCAAACAGAAGACACCCATTCGACTGCCAGACATCCTGGACATGACAGATTTCGTCACACCCACGGAACCGAACTCGAGTGAGCCTTTTTTCTGTATACCGATTAGAACATATTTTCAGCTTATGGGAGGCGGAAGGGGAAGGGGGGATAGAATGCGCAAAGAGCAGAGGTGGAGATTTTAATCGCCGGTTCACTTGCTATTTGAGTACATTAATTTACGGTTCCTCCTTCCCGATCCACAAGGCTCCGGTACGACAATTCTATCGAGATTGCAGATCAGGTGTACTGTTAGGCCTTTTTTTCTGTGCATTTGAGCC